AGAGTTCTTGTATTTCCCTTATTAAAAGACTTTTTTTTCTTCAATCTGTCATGGAGCTTGAATTCAGGGCCTGGGTGCTGGCCCTGAGCTTTTTCACTCAAGACTAGTGCTCTACCACTTTGAGGCAGAGTTCCACTTCTGGTTTTCTGGTGGTTATTTGGAGATAAGAGTCTCATGGACTTTTTGCCCCTGCTGGCTTAGAAGCCCGCATCATCAGATCTCACCCTCCAGAGTAGCTAGGATTATAGGCGTGAGCCACCAGCGCGTGGCCTATTTATTAAAGACATTTTAAGGCTTCATGGGCCCTTTAAAATACCTTGTGCTAAAATTCTTATGGAATGCCAGGTGCTGGTAGTACATACCTGTAATCTTAGCTTTTCAGGAGGCTGTGATCTGAGAATCACAGTTTGAAGTCACTACAGGAAAGAGAGTCTGGGAGACTCATCCCCAGTTGACCACCCAAAAGCCAAAAGTGGAGATATGGCTCATGTGGCAGAGTTCTAGGCTTGAGCACAAAATAAATTAAAAAATAGATCAGAGCTCATACCCTGAGTTCAAGCCCTAGGACATCTTACATAATTAGTAAATCGTGTGTGTGTGTGTGTGTGTGTGTGTGTGTGTGTGTGTGTGTGTGTGTGATGAGGGTACTGGGGCTTGAACTCAGGACCGGGTTTTGTCCCTTAGCTTTTTTGCTCCAAGGTGGTGCTGGCTTTTGTTTTTGTTTTTGTTTATTTGTCAGCTGTGGGGCTTGAACTCAGGGCCTGGTTTCTGTCCCTGAGCCTCTTTGTGCTCAAGGCTACCACCTGAGCTGCAGCACCAGTTCCAGCTTTTGAGTGGCTTATTGGAGATAAGAGTCTCACAGGGACTTTTCTGCCCTGGCTGGCTGCAAACCATGATCCGCAAATCTTAGCCTCCTGAGTAGCTAGGCTTAAAGGCGTGAGGCTCTGGTGCCCACCTGTCTGGCTTTTTGATTGTTAATCACAGGTAAGAGTCTCTTGGATTTGTCTGCTGAAGTCTGTTTTACTCTGGCCAGGCTGGCTTTGAATCAGAATCCTCAGATCTCATTCTCCTGAGTAACTAGGAGTCAACTGTGAGACACTGGTGCCTGGCTTCAAAGAATACGATAGGTACATGGCACATTATCATGGGGAAACTCCTTCCTACAATGAACTTATAATAAGGAAAACACAAAATACAAGAGACTGGCATTTGGGCCTGTGGCCTAAGGAAGGTCTGCTCTCACCCACTGTGAGTAGGGTACCTTCTGGTGGCTAAGGCCTCTCCTCTCCCCTCCCCTCCTCTCCTCTCTCCCCTGGGATATCACAACTTCACATCCACTCCTGTTTGGGTTCTGGAATTTGCATCAGTGGCTTCACAATTCCTCTGATGTTCAGCATCAGAATGGGAACCAAGTCCCCTCCTTGTTTGGACTTGAGCAGTGATTCAAGCTTTCCTAGCTCTAGCTTAAAATGGGACTCTTCAGCCAAGCCCCAGTAGCTCACGCCTGTAATCCTAGCTACTAAGGAGACTGAGATCTGAAGATCATGGTTCAAAGCCAGCCTGGGCAGAAAGTCCCTGAGACTCTTATCTCCAATTAACCACCAGCAAACCAGAAGTGGCACCAAGTGGTTGAGCACTCGCCTTGAGCTGAAGTTTTGAGGGACAGTGCCCAGGCCCTGAGTTCATCCCCCATGATGGATCAAAAAAAGGGACTCTTCAGTCTCTGTAGTTTCATGAGACAATTCCCTGAGGAAATGGTCTCTTTTGTGTCTCTCTGTACCTTCCACTGCCTGCACAAGCCTGATGAACAGGGCCAGGTGCAAAGGTGATGAGGTGCTTCACACACTGTGATGCTGTATAAGCTTAAACATTGTCAGCTCCTTGGTTTATTATTTCATGCCTAGATTATAAACATATCTGGTTCTTGAATGTGTACATAACACAAGAAGTCTCATTATATTAAAAATTATTAAATGATTTTCCCAGGGATTACAGGACTCTACACCTTTAAATGTTACCAATGGTATTTACTTTAGTCTGAAAATCAGAAGAAATTCCTTTTCTTCCTTTCTTTTTTAAATTTTTATTTTTTTTGGGGGGGGGTCCGGTCATGGGACCTGAACTGTGGGCCTGGGCACTGTCCCTCAGCTCTTCAGCTCAAGGCTAGTGCTCTACCACTTGAGCCACAGCGCCACTTCCGGCTTTTTTCTGTTTGCTTATGTGGTGCTGAGGAATCAAACCCAGTGCCTCTGGCATACAAGGCATGCGCTCTACCACTGAGCCAACTTCCCAGCCCTCTTCCTTTCTTCCTTCCTTCCTTCCTTCCTTCCTTCCTTCCTTCCTTCCTTTCTTTTCTTTCTTTTTTCTTTTCCTTCCTTTCTCTCTCTCTCTTTCCTTCTTTCTCCCTCCTTCCCTTCCTCATACTCTTTCTTTTCCCCTCTCTTTCTTCTCTTCCTCTTTCTCTTTCCCCCCTCCCTCCCTCTCTCTCTTTCTTTTTCTTTCTTTCTTTCTCCCTCCTTCCCTTCCTCATGCTTTCTTTCTCCCTTTCTTCTTTCTTTCCCCCTCCCTCCCTCTGACCCTCCCTGTCTCCCTCCCTCCCTCTCTCTCTCTTTCTCTCTTTCTTTCTTTCTGTCTCTCTTTCTTTCTCTCTCTCTTTTTTTCTTTCTTTCTGTCTGTCTGTCTTTCTTTCACTGTGTTGCTGTGTAGCCTAAGCTGGCTCTCAAGCCTCAAACTTTCAACCCTCCTGCCTCAGTCTCCCGCTGGGATAATAAGCATGTATCACCTTATTCAACATTAGTTTTCTCAATCAGTAAATATTCAATAATCTGACAAAAGATTTTATTTCATTGAAACAAGAATATAGCTCCCTTAACCTTCCCTGGTATGGAGACATGGAGACTCCTAAGTATCACCTCAGTGATCTCCGAATTCTGAATGTATACTAAGTACTTAACTAACATAATTGGGGAATCTGTGCTCCTCCTAAAACAAAATTCAATGGTTGTTTTGTAAAAACAATCCATAGTAAAACATACTTACAGTGTTTGCTTTAACTAGCCTGACCTTACTTTGTGGAGTAAAGTAAGCTTTTCAGAGGGATTATTTATTTTGAGTTACTAATGCAATGCAAACTAATATTCTCAGTGTGACAGGATTGGGGCAGTAGATCTTGTATAAAATGTTGATGGCTCACACCTGTAATCTAGGCTATTCAGGAAGCTAAGACCCGAGGATCATGGTTCAAAACCAGCCAGAGAAGGAAAAGTTCTTGAGACTCTTACCTCAAATTAACCAACAAAAAGCCAGAAGTGAAGCTATGGCTCAAGAGGTACAGTGATTGAACAGAAAGCTCAGCTACAGCATATAGGCCCTGACTAGCACACACACACACACACACACACAAATATAAAAATCTAAAAGATAAGACCAAATTGTTTTGTGGGTTTCCTAAATGAGTAATCAAGTCCAGTATTCATCTTGTTCTATAGTTCTCTGAAATTTTAATTACCTGTGAAGATTAACTTCTACCATCTTGCATATATCCTCACACAGAAGGATATACAACCCTGTTTAGAGCTTATGTATGGAGCCAATAACTAAAAAAGCATTTTAAAAAGGAAAAATATAAAAGAAAAATATCACATTTTATTTGAAACACTATTGAAGTATCCCCTGCAAATAAATGTTTACCTCCAACCTTGACCAGATAATCAACGTTCCCCTGGTAATCTCACATCAGCTCTGTACCTACAGTTATCTCACTTCTGTGAATTAAATTTATAGTACTATTTTAAGATGAATAATGCTATGTACTAGTTTTTTTTGGGGGGGGGGTCTGGTCGTGGGGCCTGAACTCTGGGCCTGGGCGCTGTCTCTCAGCTCTTCAGCTCAAGGCTAGCACTCTACCACTTGAGCCACAGTGCCACTCCGGCTTTTTTTTTTCTTTCTGTTTATGTGGTGCTGAGGAATCGAACCCAGGGCCTCATGCATGCAAGGCAAGCACTCTACCACTAAGCCACCTTCCCAGCCCCAGAAATGTTTTTCTATTGTAAGGAAAGGCTTTTCTCTTTATCTATATTACATTGGAACCGACTTAGGGATTTTTATGTTACTCAATGGTTTCTAGGTGATTTGATTTAGTGATTTCCTTTTCCTTTTTGCGCTGTTATGGGATTTGAATTCAGGGCCTGGGAAATGACCCTGAGTTGTTTAGCTCAAGGCTGGCTCTTTACCAGTTGGACCATAGCTCTACTTCTGGCTTTTGGTGGAGATAGGCATTACATAGAGGTTTCTGCTCAGGTTGGCGTCGAACCATGATCCTCAGATATCAGCCTCCTGAGTAGGTAGGGTTACAGGCATGAGCCACCAGCTCTGGGCCATTTTGAACCCTTTTTTCATCATTTGGTACGCAGCTTTATCTTGTAGTTTGCCTGTCCCAGCTTGGAATCAGCCTTTTATCTAAGGATGTTGGAGCAAAGAGCGTGTGTTCTTTTTTTGGAGACCCGGATCTGGAAAGCAAGACTTGAGATGCTGATGGATCATCGCTTGAATTATGAGGAATCTACTAATTCTCTTTTTTTCCACCGCTCATCAGCTGAAACTTACATTCCATTATAAGTCTGGGTCAAGAGAGAGAATTTTTATTTATTTATTTTTATTATCATTATCTTTCTCAACACATCGTGATTTTGAATCCAGAATTGCCCAGAGACTGGAGCCAGAGGACCCCCTCACCCCTTCCTATCCTCCCAAGGGATTCCAGCTTCCCCATTCAGAGCACTGCCCAGCTGCAGTCCCGGGCGCGTCCTCCGGGGTGCGCTGCGCGCCGCCCGCGGCGGCTTCCTCCAACCTGGGACGCCGGGCACGGCTTCGCCCGGGCACCGGGGAGGGAGAGGGCACGTCCGCGTCCGCGCGGCCACTTCCTCCCGACGCCGCCGGTGATTGGCTCCCGGGCTTATCATAAACGCGGAGGAGCCGCTGCGGCTGGCAGGAAACTTGCTAGAGGGCTTGCGGGTGGCATCGCCGGGGACCCCAGGCCGGGGCACCATGAGGTCGTCCTTGGTCTTGCTGACCGCGCTGGTGGCGCTGGCCGCCTATTACATCTACATCCCGCTGCCCAGCTCCGTGTCCGACCCCTGGAAGCTGATGCTGCTGGACGCGACTTTCCGGGGCGCACAGCAATTGGTGAGGTGCAGCCGGGCGCTGCTTCCCTCTCCCTCCCCGTGAGCGGTGCACGGGGAGGGGGGAGGGACGGATGGGAGGATGGATGGATGGATGGATGGATGGATGGGTGGATGGATGGATGGATGGGGGACACCACATTTCGCCACCGTGTTGCACGAAAATGCATGTTTGTGCTCTCCTTATTTTTCCTCCAAATGCAGCGACGCGATCGCCCGACACGTTCGGGGTATCCCCCCTTCGCCCCTCTTTGCTATAGGAGAGCCCGACCTGCGTGTGTCGTGCCCGGGGGCTGAAGTTCCTGCACGGGGCTTCACCGCTGTGCAACGCCCCTCCCCCGCCCCGAGAGCCCCTCCCCCTCCAATGCCCTCCCCCCCATCCCCCACCCCCCACCCCGCTTCTTGGTTTGTGGGGTCAAAAGCCGAATCCCTCGGGCATCTGAGAAATCACTGGCCTGCACCCCCATCGTCCCCCCACCCCCCACCATCGAGGCCCCGCATGGAATGGGTTAAATGTTGGGAAACAGGTTCAGGCTGCCCGAAAAGCAGAAACGAGAAGCTGCGGGCAGTGCAGCGGGGCGGGTGGAAGGGCTCTGGGGATGGCGGGCCAAGGTCCCCCAGCATTCAAACCGCGCGATCGCCCCCGCTTCATCGGTGCTGCTTCTCAGCCCCAGAAAGGCGGTCCGCGGGCCCGAAGGGCTGCAAGGTCCGGGAGGTGGTGCCCTTCGGCGTTTGTTTTCTGTCCTTGCCAGTCAAGGAGATAGATAACCTTTGCCTGGGCCCGAAGCCGGCGTTCACCGGAAGGGTAGCTTCGCCCTCTGCTGTATGCGGGTGTGTGTTTCTACACCCCGCTCCCGGTCCCCTGGAAAATGTATCCGGCTCTGGGTTCCATGATAGAAGGTATTGTGTTCTGTAACAGAACTACAGCCTGAAGCCAAGGCCCGGCCCTGTGAGTGGATAGTATTTCTGAATAGACTGCCTTATCTAAACTCTTCTTGTGTTGGGGATGTGTATACCAGTATGAGCGTTTGAACGCAGGATCTCGGTTATGTCCTCGGTTATGTCCCAGAGCATTCCGTGTGTGTGTGTGTGTGTGTGTGTGTGTGTATGTGTGTCAGGGCCTGAACTCAAAGCCTGGGTACTGTCCCTGAGCTTTTGTGCTCAAAGCTAGTGCTCTACTATTTGAGCTACATACAGCTCCACTCCAGCTTTTTGGTGATTAATTGGAGATAAGAGTCTCTGGACTTTCCTGCCAGAGTGGGTTTTGAACCACAATCCTCAGATCTCAGCCTCCTGAATAGCTAGGATTACAGATGTGAGCCACCAGTACTGGGCATCTTAGCTGTTTTTGCTGAAGGCTGGCACTCTACCACTTGAGTTACAACTCCATCTTTTGCTTTCTGGCGGTTAATTGGAGATAAGAGTCTCAAGGACTTTTCTGCCCAGGCTGGTTTAAAATGGTGATCTTCACAGCTTAGCCTCCTGACACACTAGGATGACAAACATGAGCCATTAGCATCTGGCTATAATCTATGTTATTTTTGCAGAGTCCTTTCAGAAAGACAACGAGACAGAGAAAAATCATGATCTGCCTAAAGGATTTAGATTCCTTTTCCCTATCTGTGGCTTTGCCCTATTCAAAGCTTACTACTGCCAGGCACCAGTGACTCACACCTGTAATCCTAGCTACTCAGGAGGCTGAGATCCGAGGATCACAGTTCAAAGCCAGTCCAGTCCAGACTCTCAACTCCAATAAACCACTACAAAACCTGAAGTAGTTTTGTGGCTCAAGCAGTAGAGCGCTCACCTTGAGCTGAAGAGTGCAGGGACCAGTATCCAAGCCCAGAGTTCAAGCCCCATGACCAACCATTAAAAAAAAAAGTTTACTACACGCCTAATGGTTGATTCCAGCCAGTTTCCAACTCCAAGGCTTAGCTTTGTCAGAGAAAGTCTGAAGTTACAGACTGCTATTCTGCTTCCTGCTGCTAACCAAAGTGTTGGCAGTACCATACTCCAGCATTGTTACCAAAAACTCAGTCTTTATATAGCACCCTGGAGTCCCTCCCTTTCCTCCTGGAAATATGTAATGTGCAATCAACACCTTTCATAGATTCTGGAGAAAACTAGTGTTTACCCAGATGGATTAAATGGTCACCCATAGTACATTCAAAATCAGGAAGAGTTCAGCACTGAGTGTACCACTAGCTTTATTTGTATTCCTGAGCTACTTCGGAGGCTGAGATGTGAGGATTGATGTTCAGAGCCAGCCTAGACAGGAAAGCCCTTGAGACTCTTATCTCCTACTAACCACCAGGAAACTGGAAATGGCACTGTAGCTCAACGTGGTAGAGCACTAGCCCTTGAGCTAAAGAGCTCAGGGATAGCACCCAGGCCCCGAGTTCAAGCCCCATGACAAAAAGAATAAGGAAAAAGAAAACAGGAAAGGAGAAACTGCTATGTTGGCAGCAGATTATTCCAAGTTTTCAGGTCACCAAGGAAGTCTTCTTTATCCTTATCCCATATAATTTGGGGAAAAACAGTTGTGAGACTAGCTTTTCTTACTCATCTAGACTGCTGGGCCACAGAGGGCAGGATTATGTGGGGTCTATAAGTGTCTGTAAGTGTCCTGGGTTGTGTTTGGAAAAGGGAAGGGGTTGGGCTGCATTCTAGCAGTAGATGAGATGACAGGTGTCCTTACCTGACACAGCAGATCAAGAGGCCATCTGTCACTTTACAGAGGAGAAGCTCTTCTCACTTCTTTTCTGAGTTGTGAAATATGGACAAGATCATGAGATCACATGAAAGTATTTTCGGTCCAGGCACTGGTGGATCAAGCCTCTAATTTTAGCTTCTCAGAAGGCTAAGATATGAGGAATCTGGTTCAAAACCAGCCTGAGCAGACAAATCTGAAAGACTCTTAGCTCCAGTGAGCCAGGAATAAAACAGGAAGTCGAGGTAGAGAACCATCCTTGAGTGAAAAGTCAAATAAGAGGTCAGGGCCCTGAGTTCAAGCTATGGAGCTGGCAGTGGGGGGCCATGGGAGAGGGATTTAATCAAGACCAGAGCCTTATGTACATTTGTCAAACATTGTACAGCTGGATTGTCCTTGGCCAGGGAGTGAATTTAAATGTCTGGGACCTGTAGTTATTCTAACTTGACCTTAAGGACCCATTAGGAACTACGGGGGGGGGGGGGGGGAGAATCTGTAGGATTGCCCATAGTCCCTAATGGGTCCTTAGATAGCTAAAGGTAAACTGGTACTGGGGATGTAACTCAGTTATAGAGTGCTTGCTTTGCAAGTGCAAGGCCCCAGCTCCCATCCCCAGGGGCAAAGGGGGAGCAGAGAGAAGAAATTGAGAGCAATGTGTGTCATTGAAACCTAGAGAGAGCTATATTCCATTGCATGGCATAAACTTTCTCCATCAAATAATTTTGATTTGAATCAATTGGTTCAACTACAATATAAATGAAGCCATTGAAGAGATGAGGCATGACCTACTTCCTAACAGCTGTACCTACCCAGTATCAAGAAAAATGAAGATGGAAGGCTCACTTATGCCTGTAATCCTAGCTACTCAGGAGGCTGAGATCTGAAGTGTAGGGGTTTGAAGCCAGCCTGGGCAGGAAAAGTCCATGAGACTCTTTTTTTTGGGGGGGGTCCGGTCATGGGGCCTGAACTCTGGGCCTGGGCACTGTCCCTCAGCTCTTCAGCTCAAGGCTAGCACTCTACCACTTGAGCCACAGTGCCACTT